GATCAAACCTGAAACAATTCTGCCTATCACCCGTTTTTACTTGATTGAGAAGGGTGCTACATCTTAAGAGTAAGATGCAACTGTTCTGTAAGAAACAAAAACTCGACGGAGATAGATTTTGTAAATCATGAGATAAATATGATTAAAGCATTATTCAAATGGATATGCATATACCAAGGGTATAGTTATACCTCCACATCATGTGGAGTCGCTGAGACACGTGCAAAAGTTCAATGTTAGATAGCAGAACTTGTTGACCTCTAAAAATGGCTCTTCCAGGTGGCCAACTTGTAGCTACTCCACGTATTCCTCCCTACGAAATGAACAAACTGTCAGGCGCACACGGCCGGAACCAACGGTGGTGGCGGCCGTATACACTCCGACGGTCAAGTCAGGTTTGGGTGGTCGGAACAGTGTCCAGGGACTACACAAATCAACCAGTCAATAAAGGGGGAGGAGAATATATAAACTTGTTATGGAGTGCTATCTATTGAGAGTTTCATTACCTTTGCCTCTGGCCAATCTTTGGGTATTTATAGGTGGTATGAACCGTGGGATGTGGAACACGTGTATATATCTGACGGTATAAAGCGTCTGCTCATAGGCGTCAATCAGCCGCGCTTGTAGAGTGGGCGGACAGTTTGTTTCCCCCAAGTTGAATTGACATAAAGTTGATAAGTCACATCAAATAGCTTTATGGGGGACGTCACATCAATTTAAACCTTATATGCAGAGCAAATCTTAAATTGGCAGCGAATCTTCTAACGGGGTCGGAGACGGGACACTTCGGCAGATCAGTGACAGGAATTGGTGTATCACTTCGGAGAGGCTTCGGGAGGTCGGAGTGGTTTCGAGGCTCGTAAAATGAGGCGTAACAGTGGCCCCCCAAATCTGAGAATGAATATTTATATTATACTTGGATTTGTTTTCCTGACCGGATCGCGGCATGGGGGTAGCTGAAACTTTGTAGAGCATGGGAAGAACGCAGAGCCGAGGCGATGAGCCAATGATACGCTCGCGTCGGGTACGTTAAAGCGTTATAGAAATTTTAGGGACTCGTCTTCATCGAAGCGTTGTCAGGAAGAGGGAGACGGCTCAAGCTTTGCAAAGCATGGGAGGGGCGCAGCGACCGAGGCGATAGCAAACGGGGCGCTTGCATCGGGTGCGTCCAGGCTTTGTTAAGTTGGGGGACTCGTTTCTCGCCGAAGCGTTGGCGGAAAAGAGGGTCGACGCGTGGGGGGATGGCTAGAACTTTGTAAAGCAATGGTGGGAACGCAGCGCCCGAGGTGATTAGCGACTGGGGCCTTCGCATCGGTTGCGGCTAAGCTTTGTAAAGTTGGGGGAGGAGATCATCCGAGGCGACCCAGAAGTCCAATGATTTGACAACTGTTGCGTGTTTCCAAGGTGACAGTTGGGTACCACGCCCATTCCCCTAGAAGGCTGCCGCGGCCAGTAATTATTATTGACGGCTGTTGGTAACCGAGGCGACGCGTTTCAATTTAGCGTGAAAGCCACTTTAGCGTGAAACCCACAGCGACATCTTGGGCGTAGATCAAATCTGGCGTTTCATTTCAACGGCTGGGATCGAGAATACAACGGACGGTTTAGATTGATCGTATTTGAATTCAAAGGTGGAGATTGGATTTGTCTTTCCTATAAAAGGTGAACTTTGGGGGCTTACCAGAGTTTCTACCTTTACCACGAAAAAACAAAATTTTCTCCCAAATTTTTGGCGATTCCCGGCGTTCTACAGGCAACTCCGGCGAGAGAGAGAGCGATATTTCCGGCGATCTTGCACCATTTCCGGCTAGGAAACACTTTCAAACCCGTAAGTTTCAGTACCCATTTAGACTCTAAAAATTTCTTAACGAATGGCCTCGGAAGG